TTCTGGATATTTTATACGATAATTTTTCATAGTACATGCATTTTCATATTATTATGAAATGTATAGCATCGTCTCTGAAAATTTGTTATATTCAAATAAATTTCCCATTATATTTTCCATTTTCTGCCTAAAAAATATCTGATGATCACTTCTAGGTTTCAACGTTATATGTCATTGAACACATTGTGTCATTTCTCAAATAGGGGTTAATCGCTTTATAAGGTAACAAGTGCGTGATCCATGGGAATTTCCGATACCGTTCGCTGCACACATTATATTTAGACTAGTTTTGCTCGCGACGAATCGTACCCGGTGACGTCACGCGATTGTTGGCGGTGCCGGAAGTTATGGCAATTACCGCAAGCCGTGGCAAACGCGGGTGCAGCTGCGAATCCTATTTTCGAAGACGATATTTCTAGCTCCTTTTTCGACACGGAAACAATATAGGTCCCCGTGTAATGGATAGAATTAAAAGGGAAAAGAATAACATACTTCAGAAGTTTAATGTACCAATGTACAATATTCTATGATTTGAATCATAACTTTCTCCAGGCTTTATGTTTTTCCGGTTCGGAAAGATCTTCTTTATTCTTCCTATTTTTAGTTTAAACTATAAATCATTGGTGATAGATTGCATACATATTTTTACTACTATAAATTACTTTTTTTTTCTATATGATAAATTATTCGCCACGTCAAGAATTACCATACACCTGGAATTTATGTATTTCTCAATCACCTTGCAAGCAGTGTGATACGAACGTACGTATAATATAGTGTTTAAAAATTAATGTAATAATTCAAGTAGCTAAAAATATTAATTCACCGTTCATTTTCAAATACGAGATAAACGTATAGTTAATTACTTGGGATTCAAGCGAATCCGAATCATAAAACGAATTATTTGTCGATTCCATAGTTGTAAAATATTTCTGGGAAAATACGAGAGTGGCGACTTCCGTTGAACTCGGCGAGCCTCCAAAACCGGATAGGTGACAACTCCGGTCATAATTCTTAGTTATTACCGTGACGTTAATTGTTTTTTGAATATTCATGGCTACTACGCTTTTTGCACGCAAGAAACGTAGCTCTTAAAATGCTTGCTAAAATAACCGGCTGCCGGTGAAAGTTCCGCACTCAACGAGTCGTCACAGCGTCATCGAAGACGTTCCCAAAGTCGGAGTAAGTCGCTTGTAATTGATATCATAAAGTAGTCAATTTCCGTTTAGGCTAATCCACACCTGAATAAGTAGACGTGCGAAATTTTCTATTTCTCAGACTTAGTAGTTAGATACATCTAGTGAGAAATTAACAATAAGTATAACTGTACGATATTATCCAAGGCCTTTTTTATTTCTATGCGTACGATCGTATTCTGCAGATCAGTTTCCAACCTCTCAGTTACATGGTCTTAAGTGTACTCGTCTACAAGCTTAAACTGCGAACAGAAAAGCGTTCCCTCAGTGAATAAATCGCAGCCACGAGAATAATTTAATCTTCAACTTTTATAAGAACTTCTTTATCAAAATCATTCATTACCACGTCGCATCTCGTAAGTGTCTAAATTTTTCTTTGCTATTAAATATAGTCATGCTGTTATCCTCTTCGATAAAAATGTGCCTGATTGATGTACGAAAGACACAAAATTATGCAAAGCGAACATATTTTTGTTACCAACATTTAACGTCACTATTAAATCATTAATTAGAGTGTCCCCTTCCTCCTCCAATAAACTTCACGTAAGTATAGTGCTATTAATATTTCGAACGCTACCTTTATATTAATCTCTCACCTTCGGTTCATAATAATTGATCAATCATGAAATCCACGCCTTCCTCAGAGCAATAATTGCAGAGCGGTGATGTTTAAGGCTTGAAGATAAGAGATATCACATGAGCTATGCAAATGTCTTTGTGACACAGACCTTTTCATTTCAACATCGAGGCTGAACGAAATATATTTATACATATACGAAAAGTTATTGGAAATGTAATTTCATTATTAATGATAATTAAATTAACTTGAAATAAGTACCATTAACACTGTGTTCAGGATATATTTATGTATTATGCGAATTCTGATTCTGAAATCAAATGGCTTTTACGGTTGATTAAAAGACTGTGACAGTAGAATTGTTATGAAGTATCAAGCAATATCGTAGATGGAAAAAGTCAGGAGAAATCTATTCGCGGTTGTGCACTGAGATAGATTAAACTGCGAAGAAAATAAGGTGATCGGTGGAGGACTGGTTCGATCAATTTCAGTGGAACACAATCGGATTAGAAGTGTCGAAATCCGACAGGAAGCGCATCTCGCCGAGGTTCACCGCTAAACCGCAGAACCTTGAGAAACACCAAATGAAGACGTCCCCTCCGACGTCTAACCACATTGTACCGAATATCTTTTATTCTTCACAAATTGTGCACGCCTGCATTGTTCACCAAACATTTTAAAATGATTCAATTTGACTGAAGTCATTGGTTTCATTAAATGGTTCTAATTAATTTAAGGATGTATTGGCTGTACAGTCAATCCCAAGAATTTATATACTTTAGAAAAACGCATTTGCTATAATTAAAAAGAAATCAGACGTCGGAAGAACAATGCTAATAATAAATAGCTACGTGCTAAAATATATAGAAGGAAATATCCAATGGATTATTGACGCTGGCGAAAAGCTTTTTATACAGAAGTTGTAGGCTCTGACATGAAAGGTTCTATGCATTTTTCTTCTAACTCCAATATTT